GATGTCAAATTTGAAATATGAATTCTAAACATGTTTACACTTACTGTTGCTGTACAAATTTCCCTCCATTGAATGCGAGTACCGTTCTGATAGAGCTGAAAACTTCTTGGGCAATGTGACCTGCTTTGGAATAAGTATTAAATTCATTTAATGTTTCTTTCGTCATTGTCTAAAATAGTAATGAATAAAAATATGTAAGAGTGAATCTGTAACAGCTCCCAATCAGAGAACTGAACTGATAGCAACTAACCAGTTCTTTTTTTGAGAACTGATGACTAGTTTTTTGAAAAAAGAATTCGGTCTGCGTATCAGTTCTCGAAGAAAGAACCAGCTCTTGGAATCAATTCTGGAAAAAGAACCGATTCTGAGAATTGTAAGGTGCTACAGATTCATGTGAGAGATTTATTTTCTATTAGTTCGAGAATCAAATTACTTTAGAGAAGAAGTATCCACTTATGATAATTATTGGCACAATATATATCATAGCAAGTGTTATTCGCCAGCTTCCATAAAATGCTACACAGATTAAACTCAGTGTTTTTCCTAATGATCTGATCACTTGTGCTAAATCAAGTCCGATGCCTTTTGCTAATAGTTCAATATTGCTATGAAATAAAATGAAAATATGTAACTATGGATAATTTTCTGTTATGATATGTCAACGCATCGAAATATATGTTAAATTTCTCAGCAATGACAAAGTAATCTCACTCGAATAACTTGGAATTCAATTGACCAGTTTGGTTTTTATCGAAATATGTCACATTCTATAGATTGAATTAAAGAAAGAAAATAATTCAATAAATCGATATTGATCCTTTTCTCTTCGATCGAACATACGCGCTGAAGAATGGTGTGAAAGAGACGATTACGAACTCGATTAGTCTGCCTTCTGCCAGATGTATCGAATGTAGAGTATTGAATTACAATAAAAAACACTTGTACAATCCCAACAACTAAAAACTAAAATTATTCTGATGATAGCTAAGGTTTGTTAAAAATTTACCGAACAAATACTGAATAGAGTTCCAAACATCAGTTTGATATAAGTTGTTGATTGGTTGGGATATATTTTTGTTATAACACAATCTTGAAAAACTAAATAAACAGACATGTTAAACAGAATGCTCAAATAATATCATGCATTCAACTGTATTATAAATAATGCCCTTAAACATAAAGTTTAAATGCTATGTTTACTTTTTTATGCAGTCATAATTGGCCGAATTGAGTTGGGTTACTAGTTGATAGTCAATATCACTGTTAATCAATGCTGTTCTATTGTGTAAATTGTGACAATTTTTGCCAGACATTTTCTCAGTAATTAATCCCGTTAATCGAGCAAATAAGAAAATGAAGAAACTTTCACAAACACTAGAACCAACAACTGCGCATATACCGATACACAACAAAATATAATCGACAATGTCCGCAAAACGAAACTGAAATCATTATTGATAAGCATAGTGACCTTTATTCTGTTATATTGCTAAACGTACCAACTGAAGAAATGTCACAATTTTCTGCATTTCATTATTATTGCCTTCCAAACTGTCTTGCCTAGTGCTGAGATACTTTTCAGTCAGCCTGCGAATTGTAGTAAGAAATCTGTAAAAAGAAAGGATAACATTCCAAAACACATATTCGAGAAATATATATTTACATACGTCATCCAACATTTCCACTGATTTTTGCCAGCTTTGTTTGCCTTGGTAGACGACGATAGAAGAGGTTGTCTATCACTCATGAATATATTCGTTAAACAGCAATCATATAATAAACAATAGAAATAAATAAAACGTTCAATGTAATTTATTTATTAATATAAATGAAGTATTATTAAACGTATCAAATTACTTATACCTTCCCAAGTCGCTCAAACGGCCAGAAAATCGCCGGTTTACCGCGGTTCGACAGCTTTTTTTTTCGCGTATCATAGTGTATGAAAATTTTTAAACTCTTAGAAAATCATTAGAATTATGTTGAAATCGTCGCTCCTTATATATGCAAACGCACTTAATCCACCGGTACCAGTCACGTCTGCTATATTTTCTTGGTTTTCGAGTTTAGGTTTTTATTAAAGACGGCGCTATAAAAATAGTTATTCGCAAGATAACTTAATCAATACAAAAATCATTAGCATCATCTGATAGAATTTTACTGTTGCATAATTATATAGGCTTTTTTGAGTGGCAATCGTTTTTTTCAAGATCAAAAATAATAATTTAGAAAAAAAATATTAAAAATCGATAAACGAACGGGAATCGCTTCGAATCGATGGTTTTGATGGAAAATCGACGACATGAGTTATCAAAGGTAATGACGTCAATATCTTATTTCATTAATTGAAAACTTCAATAAATTTTCTTCCTATTTAGTTGTAGAGAAAATTATACTATATTTTTTTGTGCTATTTGATCACCTTTTAACTAATATCATAATAATAAAAATTCGATAAGAACTCCCTTTCTGTATAACTTTACTAATATGTGAGGCGGACTAAATGACCGTACTTTGTATTTCAGTTATGAATCACTTGAAAGGTTATATAAAATAATAATAAAATGAGCAGCACGTTACAGTTTGAAAATCTCTACAATATTTTAAATAACAGGTTATTTTATATGCGAAATAAAACAAAAAATTCTCTTCATCTAGAAAAAAAATCACTTTTTTTGCAGTAGCGAAAATTGGTTACACAGGATTTTGCTTTTTTTGAAAACAATAAGTACATAATTAAAATAAGCTTTACTTTGTATATTTTAGACCTTTTCACTCTGTATCTTACAATGTATTTTATTTTTGTTTTTATCTAAATAAAAGATATCATATGATAAAAAGATGAACTAAACAAAAATGAATTTATCTTCTAGCAAAAAAAATTGTTTTCATGTGAACGAAAATTAACCGCTCAAAATTTTCTACATTTTGAAAATTTAAAGTTTAACGATAAAATGAGTCATCTTGCGTAACTTTTAGAGCTTATCATGCTGCATTGTATGATATATTTTTGTTATTATTTTATACAATCTTTTAAGTAATTTAAAGCTGAAATATGAGGCGTGGCTATTTAATCTGCCTCGCATATCAGTAAAGTTACACACAAAAATCCCCCAATGTCCTCTATTTTCCATCAAAACTGCCGGTTCGAAGTGGCTTCTGTTTGTTTATCAATTTTTTAAATAATTTTTCTTCTAAATTAATATTTTTAGTGTTGAAAAAAATCGATTGCAACTCAAAAAAGTTTAGATAACTATGCAACAGCGCCATCTTTAAAAAAATTCTCAAACTTGAAAACCAAGAAAATATAGCATATGTGATTGACACCGGCGGATTCAGCGTGTTTGCATATATAAGGAACGACGATTTCGACATAATTCAAACAAGTTTCTAAGAGTTTAAAAATACTCACACACTATAACACACAAAAATATTTAGTGAGCGAATCGCAGTTGACCAGCGATTTTCGGACGGTTTGAGCGACATGGAGTTCATATCGAAACTTTATTATTATGATATTAGTTAAAGAGTCATCAAATAGCACAGCAAAATATAGTATTGCTTTTTCGATCACCGCATGAAAAAGAGAATTTATTCAAGCGTTCTATTAAGGAAATAGGATGATAATGTCATGACTTTTGGTGTACTCTCAGTGTGAGTATAAAATCTACCGTCTGATGAGCATTATCTTTGCTCAGTAAGTTAAATATTTTTCGAGTAAAACTTATATAATAATATTTGTTTTTATTGTCACCTATATTTTATTTATGCTACTTGACTTACCTGACGAAACCTTGTAAATATATCATGCCTTGTGTGAAGAAAGAAAAAATTTCATATTCAAATTGCTGCTGCTGTCTAAAGTATTCATGCTTCATTGCTTTTTTAAATACGGTTTTAACCAATAAATTATGTATATATGGTCGTCAGCACACTGTATTATGTACTCAATCTCTCATTTACCGCTGTCTTCAGACTGAAGACAAACAGAACGAAAGAAATTTTTTTCCGTTCTGTACCATCTTTGAATATATATGTATATTCCTTTGAGTATGCCTAATTTATTACGTCTGTAGACGCTTATTATACCTTTGGATATATCTTTAAGAGCCATTCCACTTAAGCCACGACTTCTCGTGCTCAATCGATTTTTCTGAATTTTCATTTCAATTAGATATATTAAAAGTATATCAATTACTTAGTTTTTTGCCACTAACCTCAGTTTTGTAGCTCAAATCATCACTGAGATATTCAATTTCTAATGTAACTTGTTATATATCGAAATAGTGATACATGGCTCTGTACGCTTTTATATTCACTATGCCATTTCCCAAGAACTCAACATAGAGCTCTGAAAATTTCAGTAATTGTACATATTTGATTGCATTACAAAATGACACAAACCGCACTAGGGTGTGGAGTGTGGGTGTGAATGTGAGTGGAGTGGGTATGGGTGTTGATCTTGTCGCTGTGTACACCCCCTCCCCACACCCACATCGACACCCACACCCACGCACACCTACACCCACACCCACACCACACACCCATACCCACACACCCCCACCCCACACCCCACACCCACAGCCACACCCACCCACACCCCCACCCACAGCCACACCCACCCCCACACCCCACACCCACACCCACACCCCACACCCAACCACGCCCACAGCCTGTTCGGTTTATGTAATTTGGAAAAGAATCTATGTTGAGAAACTTATAAAGCCCAACTCTTAATTTGTTTAGACATAATTATGAAAGATGATAGAAGACGTGACTTCTCAAATCTTAGTGCCTGCTTTTCGATTCACCCAATACTTCAAACATTTTTGAAAGAGACTGTTCTTCATTAGGAAATCACTTTCAAGTTAGAAGTGCTGGTATCATATCCCATGGACGATAGTATCTATAGTAAAAGAGCCTCTATTACAACTCTTGCTGTTCTTTAGAGAACCAAAAGTTAACTGATAAGTATTGCTCGTAAGATGCTACAAATGTGTCTAAATGCTTATACTTATAACATCTATATCTTCATAATGATTCCGTTATTTGAGATGAAAATTTCATTTTCTTTCTAACTTTACTAGGCCTATCTACTGTGAAAATATCAGCCAGATTAGTATGATTAATTGAACAAGGTTCTGTTGGATTTGGCTTTGGCTTTGGCTTACACACAATGACTTCCACATTGCTTCTGCAAATCATGTGATAAAAAATAACTGGAAACTATCATAAAGTGACTCCGAAATGAGCTAGTCGGGTTCTACAAATGCTAACATCTCTTTAGAGCCACAGCTTCAGAGAAAGTTAATGTTTCCAAGTATTATGAAGAAAACCGAATCGTTTGAGGGTGATTCGGTCACGACCCACTTGATCAACCGAAATGTTTAGAAAAACAGGCAATCTACTGGTTGGATAGAGCGCAAAAGACTATATTTAGGGCACTGCCTTTTAGAATGAAAAACTTAATATTCCTGATTAAAAATGAAATGAAAGCTATTTTCGTGACGGAATCACCTTCACCAATGTATAATCTTTACAGATATAAATAAGTTTCTGAGGAAGTGATGAAACCTAATCATTTTGTTACTATTAAGTATAGTATTGAAAGCATTGTTGGTTACTGTATTAAGTTTTCAAAAAGCTATATTTATTTATATAAAAATTCTTCAAATACAAAACCGTTATAAATATTGACTTTTCTCGCTGCTAAGACATGCCTCTTTCGTGGCGCAATCTTCTCTAATAAATATCATAACAATGTAAATAAAAAATGTATTTCTATATGTTATCGACATCGCTCTACACAATGGTCGTATTAGTTTCGAGTAATTGAGTAGGGCAACTTCACCCACTAAGGTGTACCGTTACGTGGACAGGCCGTGTTATTATTGATGATGATAATGGTTCATTAAGAAGTTGTGTAGATAATTTTTCCAGATGTATATATTTGTGAATTGTAATGCATTTGAATCCTTTTTTCGATAATTAATTAAGAAGAATTAATGCTCGCCAAAGTTGTCCAATCAACTAAATAAATCAAATATATAAGTATGACAAAGAATAAATAGTTTTATTGAAATAAAAAAAACATATTCTTCAACATGGACAAGACAACATGGAATTGTTTGCTTTTTCTTGGCATACAATGGTACTTAGGACTAACCGAAAGTTCTAAGCCCTGTATTCACAGGATCTCGTGACATAAGGTAATCTATTCAGGAATGAGAAACCAACTATATCATATTGTAAAACATTTTCAGATGCTTCGAATGGTATATAGTAAATCTTGAAGGAACTAGAATCAATTTACTGGTAGACGACTACATGCTCATATTCATACTGACATCCAAGTATGATATGTTACTGAATATTTTGGTCTTTGATATTAGTCGAAAGTATTTGTAAAATATGTTTTTACTCTCATATAATTTTGTAGAGTTTTTGACGGACTACAACTTTATATACGTAGCATCTTCGATAATCTTGTCAGTGTAGGTATGGATGAATATGAATGTAGGTGTGTAGTTGTCTATTCATAAATTGACTCTACTACTTGCTAAATTTTATGAAAACAGGATTTACTATATACCATTTGAAGTGCTTGAAAATACTCTACAATATGTTATAGTTAGCTTCTCATTCCTTAATAGGTTACCTTATCCCATTCACAAGGTTCTTTAAAAACAAAATTTACACCTTGTAGTCAACCCTAAGTATTTGAAATTGATTATTTTTCTTTGAGTATCTTAATTTTTATCGTTTATCTGCTCATTTAGAAATACTAAACATGATTTTCTTATATTTTGCTGAACAACAATTATATATCATTTGAAAGACAAGAAGAATTTTTATAGATGCTTGAAAAAATATGATATGGAAAATTCTCAAAGGCAGATTTTTCACATATTTTTTATATTTCTAATTCATCATAGTATGAGATATGAGAGTAGTGTCACAGATCCAAAATATCGGGGATTTTAGAGATCTCCACGGTGATCTCCAATATACTAACGACACTTGAATATAATACTGATTTCTCACATTCTAATTGCATTTCTATTCCTATCAGAAGCCCCTCAGGAGACTCCACATCTCTAAAAGAGATATCGTATCTCTCATCACGTCTCTGTAAGAGATGCCACATCTCCCACATCCACACTCACACACCCACATCCACACCCACACCCAGCCACACCCAGCCACACCCAGCCACACCCCACACCCACACCCACACCCTTGAAAAAAAACTTAGGACATTAACGTCATTATCATCAATATAACAAGAATCTTTTTTTTTCTACTCTATCAGCTGTGCATATGATATATAGATGAGTTCTTCTATACGAATGCTCATGCAACAGAAGAAAAAAAAGATCGTTCAAGAGAGAGATAGAGAGAATGACACATCCTTGATGTTTTTCCTGGGAAATCTTTTTTAAAAATTTTTGCTGGGGACTTGAGCATATCCATCTCTGGAAATTTCACCATATGCTCAGTGTTTCACACTTTTCCCAATGATGTAATTTTTATTGACTCTGCACAAGATCGAAAATTTCGAACCGGTTGATATGTTGAATGATTCTTCTTTCTAATTTAGTCGTATTCGATAATCAGTAAAAAAAGCCCAGACAAAAGCAGATAGAGCAAGCATAATAATTGCGACATAGGAACATTCTTTATGCCATGATGAAACATGTTCCTCATGAATTGAAGTGCTATTTCGTCGATTAGTGGTATTATCCTGTGGATGACTATCCGAACACGTTGATTGACTATCGAGTTTATCGGGTCTTTCCAAACCACAAATCCAAACAAAGGCAGTTTTTAAATAAAAAACAATTCCCATGGAATCGCCTGAAAGAAAAGATTTCCTTGATTGGAAAGAAAAAGATTTGATATCGATACCTGTTTCGAAAAAATGTAAAGCTTTCCTTTCAGTTTCAGTAGGAGGTTGATCGATATGATATGAAGATGAATTCTCGAAGGGACAAGGTTGTTCTTCATCATAATATGTGTTTGCTTCATGCATACATCCAGGTCGAGTAGGAATTTCAATTGCTTTTTCTGGATTATCAAGATCAAAAATGGTTAAACCGGATATCTAGACATCACGTTTGCATCCTATCGAGAAAATTAATTATAACTTACATATTTTTCTGGAATAGGTTTTGTCAGAAGACTGACAACGATGGTTACAATACCAGAGATTATGAAAAGAAGAACTGAAAAATACAGAAAATTAAATCGAACTACTGATGGACGCCTATCTAGATGTTCGAGTTGACAAGGCATTGCATTATAAGAATATTCCCAAATGAATCGAATTATTCCAATAAATAAGCCACATATCAAACCCCAAAATGCTCCCTAAAATCAAAATTATCAAAAATTGCTACTCTGAATAAATTACTTCTTCATTGATTCGTTTCCATAAAATCCCGAGTAAATAACACGCAGCAACTGGAGGTGCTAAAAATGGTGAAACAGCTTGAATATAATCGAATAATCTTGCACTTTGTGCTGCTCGAATAACTGGAATCCAAAGAATTGATATCCCGACAAGAATCATGACGAAAACTCTTCAATACAACTTCATGCCATTATTTCCAAAACAAATCTTTCCTTCATTTACCTGCCAACAATCATCAACTCCCAATCGTGTGCATTTCGACGAAAACGTTGCCAGATATCAATTGTGAAAATAGCCGAACTCGAATTAAAGATCGAGGTTAAGGAGGACATTAAAGCTGCAATCATACAGGCTAGTGTTAAACCACGAATTGCTAAGAAAAGGAAAAGATTGTTTTTTCTTCCAAAAGATAAATTAAAGATTCACCATTGGGCATTAATCGAAGCACAAGAAGTGGGTATGCAATGTCACTACAACCATTTCGACTACGACAAACTTGATAGCACACATCGGGATCAGCACAACCAACCTCATCTATATCAAAGTTAGTTTTTAGATGTAATTAAAGAAATACTTATACCGGGAAAGAGAATTCTTGCAATCATTCCTATTAAAACCATGAACACACATCAAATCCTCCAAAAGACAAATCACTCACCAGGAAATACCATCAGAAATAACGGCAACAATTTCAATATTCCCGCAACAAGACATCCTGCTCTTGCGTGTGTAAGATTTTTTGCTGCCAATGCTCGTTGTACAATCACCTAGATTAGAACTCAAACAAATATTTCTTCATCTTTCTCTCTTTCGATTCACTTGATCAGAACACCAATACCAAATACACAAAACTCCGTGTCCAAACAGTATCCCAAACCATGGTAAATCAGCATCAAATGGACGAATCAATGAGAAATAATATTCATTCGGTACACCACATTCAGTAGTATTATGTAATGTTGTATACGCAAGTGCATACGGAAACAGATTGCGAATTTGTTGTATACCACCAACTCTGACGAAACCTATTTTCATTATTTAAATCCCCTATTTTCATTCATAGAAATGACATACTAATAATCATCAAAATAAAAGCTGATACAACCATAATCACTGTTTGTATAAAATCCGTCCAAATAACTGCTGTTAAACCACCTAGACCAAAACTTTTATTATAACCAGAAAATATATTTGCTTTACTATTTACCACCAACAGTGAAGAATGCAGCGAGCAGAATCAGAGCAATAACTGAGGCATACAGATTCCAATTTAAAGCTTGTTGAAGGAAAATAGCACCGGAATAGAGATCAACAGATATTTTTGTAAAGATGGATAACATTAGTGCAAGACATGTTAAATAAACTCGAATGCGTTCACCACCGTAACGCATTTTTATATATTGTGGCATCGTGAATACCTCTGCTTTCATATAAACTGGAACGAATAACCAACCAAGTACCATCAGCCAATGAACTGCCTATTATATAGAAGATGTTCTTGATACAAAAGTATTCTTTTCTTACGCCTATTTCAAAATCAGCAATAGCAATGCCGCTTGAGGCACCGGATCCACTAAGACCGATGAAATGACCACTGCCAATGTTTGATGCAAATAAGGACGCACCCACCTAGAAGATTGAATGAAATCGAGAAGAATTGTTTCAACACATTTTACTAGTATAAAATTCATTGAACGACCAGCAAGAAAATATCCACCTGAATGGAAAAATATCAAATCCTTGGGGAATAAAAAAAAAAGAATATAACTATTTCTTACCGACACTGCCACGATTCTTGCATGAACTCTAAGGACAATCAAAGAATAAAATGAACTTTCTTTAATCTCTCTTACCCAAATTCCAAAGCCGAGAATGAGCAAAAAGTAGAGTAATAAAACTAATATATCTGACCAATGTAGTGCTGTTTCGATGATGGCAGCCATGCTTTTTATTTGATTTTCCACTGTGTAAATATTTATCGATTTGTCTTTATTACCTACATTATTCAAAGATCAAACATAATGACATTTTCTTCCTCAAATGTTTTCAAAAAATGATAATTTTCATGTAAAAGTTATGATAAAATATCAAGAAGAACAAACACAAAGAATAACATTTTTCTTTTATAATATAAATCAATCTTGTTATTTGAGGAAGAAAATGTCATTATGTTTGA